CTTTATAGGAATCGGTCAAGCTCGTCGCACTCAAATCTCGCTTCCTTCTTCAGCTTTCCATATCGATCCCACGTAGCTCGCGTTGCGCGTTGTATCGGTAGTTCTTTCTGGCTCGCTTAAATGTGACTACTTCTCCGGCGACGGTACGTATTGAGCGGCAAATGTGGTCCGTCGAATCGACATAACAAAAGATACCTGTTTCAGTTAATTAGCCCGTTTCGCATTGAAGCCTGGTAAAAGCAAAGCACACTAAGTGCAGCTGTTCGCAATCTTTCCAGTACATACATATGAGTGGCAAAAGGTTGTTCACGTACAAAAGTTATATAACTTTTTCATGTAACATGGGTAAATAAAATAAATATACTTTATGTACGTGTACATTAACCTTATTAGAAAAGCCTACGCCGCTGCATAGCAGAGTATTAAAAAACCTTCTGCAATGCACTACTTTCTGAAAAGAAAATCGTTAAATTACAAAAATATGAGGTTTAATAATGATGAATTGCAGAATTATACCAACACTTTGTCTGTGTCCGTATGTTTGTATATGCGAGTACGCACGAATAACTCATCGAAAAGTACCAAAGTGGCAGCCTAGAATTTAATTTGGAACACGCCACAGCCATAGACGCCACCGGCTTTACCCAACATGCAACACACTTACACTCATGAAGCTAATGTGTATGTACAAATGCCCCTGTGCCTAAGGGGCTTACTTAGCTAGATCATTGCCACAGCCAGTCAGCCAGCCAGCCAACATTCTTCTGACGTAAAAAATTTCTTCCGCGAAAGCTTGCCTCCTCAGCTTAGCGTGGGGATAGCTTTGCCTCAGCAATGAATGATCCACTGACGCATCGACAACATGAAATTGTGCTTTGATGAAGATTTATTTAAATTGCATGTTTGCCAGCGCAACAACCAACAACAAACGCTGCGATGATTGAAGTGCAGTGCGCGCGAGTGAAGGCTTAGTGTAGACTCTGTATGTGGCAGTGTGGCATGCTACTTCTAGTATCGCAAATTTTAGTTGTTGCATAGGGAAACCGCAAGAGAACACGCTTCATTGTGGCTTTGAACCTGAGACGACGACGACAGTCAGCCAACATGCCAATGCAACATTTCTCAAGTATGAATGTGGCCTAGTCGCTAGCCGGCCGCCTGCTGCTACTTTTTATAATGTAGTTATACATAAATATATACATGCACTTGTGTAGTGAATGTATGTACAAGCAATAATAACAGTGCAATAATAATCATAATAATAAAATAAAGTTGCGCATGCGCGTTGCAATTCGGTTAGTTTGCAATTTTTATTATTTCCACAACTTTTTGTTAGTAAACTTGATGTTTTTTTTTCTTATTGGCTTTGTGAACGTAGCTAAGTTGCGTGTTCATTACGCCCAAATGCACCGACTGTGGCATGCAACAGCTGTTGGCGCTACGTTTCTTTGCCAAAGTAGCGACTGTTTCTCATGGAAAAGTTCATTTCTTGCATTCCATGCAAGCGGACATACGAGTATCTATGTACATACGTATATAACTTTGCTTGTATATAGCAAAACTTACTCACAGATTCACTCACCACATGCACCAGCGATATGTACATACAGACGAATTGTTTCAATAGCACCACCATAAACCCCATTTGCGGTTACCGTGAGGCAATTTCGTCTCGTCTACCATCCCATAAAATTTTATTCGATGCATCACCGGCCGAATGGGTGTTTGTTGTTGTTGCTTTGTGAAAATAATTTAATATTATGGACCGTATGTACAATTTATGTCATTACTGTCTACAACGGTGCAAGGTTAATGGGTCAAAATGTGTAGGCAATTTGTTGACAGTTCCCGCTGGTTTTCGTAATAAAGTGTTTAGGCTTTTGGGTGTATGTGACAAAATGTGAATGTCATTACGGATGTGGTCAAACAAGGCTCAGAGATGGTTTAGTGTTACAAAAGTAGATAAATCTGTACATACATACATATTTGTATCAAATTAATGTACGTATATTTACATATATAGTACATATGTAATTTATTGTGCGAGTAGTGTCTAAACAAAGTATACCCGGATTAGTTTCCGTAGTGTACGGATGCGCATTATCTAATTATCAACAAACCAAGAATGATAGAACACAAGATTGCGCCAATCGAGCTGAGAGCAACTGGGTGTGACGTCACATTATTATGAGAATGAGAGTGTAAAGAATAATTTTGAAGAAGAATAGGAAGAAGCGAACAAGTGATACGAAATAGTGATGTAAAACTAGGTTGAATTGTACCTACTCTTCAGCTTCTTAAATTTGAACGTACATTCGGTACAAGCTCATTATTTTAGGTACATTCGGAACGTAGTAAAATATTATTTCATGTAAGTCCAAAATTTGTTATGGTACAGAAGGAAGATGTAGTCCACCAACTATCAAAAATATATGCACATAAAAATACATGTTTACTGTTTATGTGCGTGTACCTACTTTTAGGTACAACTTTCCGACAAATAGGTACAATATGAAAATTTTATATTCATCACTTGTGCGAAAAAATCATAATGTGACGTCAGCGAAAGGGTGGATGCTGTCAAATCGAGAAGGAGAGGATTAGCGGTCCGCGGCGCCACCTTTGTTTCGCTGCATCGTGTGCAGAAACTTACTCCTCTCATTTGTCTTTGCAACCGCTTGACTAGACAAAAATAAAAACACAAAATGCTCTCTCAATTACGCAGTTGCCCTCAATTACGCAGTTCCTCTAATTGTTAACACAAAGTGTCCTTTTGTATTAGGTTCTTCCAGTTTGTTTGCGAGCACCGTGGGTTTAGTCGGGCACACATGAGCGTCGATCCGAAAGATCTTTTCACCGCAGCTTCAACATCTAAGAGGTATCCGACCAGCGTAATCATTGTGTATTTGTGCGTTCGAAATGTCAGTAAAAGTTCATTATTCTATATTCTTTAGTGCTCGTTACTCACGGGACCATAGGACCATTTTTAGTATAGTATAGTTTAGCTTCATACTAGTGAAAGGATGGGCTCAGTGTGAGATTTGAGGTACCCAATTGTGGTTTGGCGGGGAGCCCTTCAATTTCACAGGTTTACAAAGAACAAGTTTCTGCATTTTGAACCAAACCTCTATATCCCTATGTTATTCGACGCCCTGAATGCGAACCGAGGTCTGTTAGCCTCCATCACGTCCGGTTTGAGGTCATTTGAATAAATTTGAAAATTTAAATATGTATATGTATGGAGTTTTAGATTCGCTGAACCTGAATCCGAGGTCAGTTAACCTCCACAATGCCAGGTTCGAGGTCATGTCAGGGTCTAATAGGACAAACAATTTATCCAATAAAATAACATTTTTTTTGTTGTTGTCACTGAATCCGAATATGGGGGTCGTCCCTTGATTCTTCAAAGTCATCTAGAGGTCATACCAAGGTCATCCCAAGGTCATCCCAAGGCCAAATTCAGAAGAATTGTATTGAACTTTTAGGTTTATTCAATGAAGTTTTCCCTACTTGATCTTTAAATGACCTCAAACCTGACGTAATGGAGGTTAACAGACCTCGGATTCGCATTCAGGGCGTCGAATAAAATAGCGATATAGAGGTTTGATGAATTGTGGGACGATTTTCCGTCATCCCTTGTCAAATTTGGTTTGGAGACAAACCATTCCACAATCAATTCATAATCAAAATATTTTTCCCATCACCAATTGGTTCTTTCGATACACACATTCGTTGGAAAATAACTAAATGATATATAGCAACCGGAGATTTATCTGCTTCAATAGAGATTGAAGCTGCTGATAGAGAAAGTACTTTATTTTTTCGTTTGAAAGTCAGTTCTTTAAAATTAAAAGAAGACCTGCTTTAATTGTTACCATCAAATATTGAAAACTTTTCATCTCATATAGATGTAAGTACAGATTGTTTTGAGGATTTACCTTTTAAAAAGCCAAATTTCAGTAATAAATGAACCACTAATTTGTGGATTAGGCCTACGGGGGATACCACTCCACTTCAAAAGTGACGTGGAAAGAGGTCTAATAAATTTCCATAGATAAATTAAAAATATACGAATAAAAAATTTCACGTATCGTTGTTTCCCCTTGAGGTTCTCAACACCTCTAGTTAAAAACAAAACTCTAGATATTAATAGGTTAAAAATTTCGTTAACAAAAGCGCTATAAGCAAGCTCTAAATACTCTTATTTATAATTGTAATAGTTACACAGAAACGTTATAAGAGAAAGTTGTAGATAACATTATTATCTAAAAAAAGATTTTAGGAAAATTTTCATGCGCCGTACAGTTAACGATATAAACTCAAAAATCGAAAGTCCTTTGGTTTTTTTTTAATGGCGGCCGTGGTACACACCCCGCACACCGAAAACTAGAATTTAAGTTCACGGTAATCTGTTTTATTAAAAGCAAAAATAAAATTACACCCTATTAGAAATGCACCGTTTGCTCTTTTTTAGACCGAATTTACCGTACTATATATAGTGAAGGCTAAATAGAAACAAATAAAGTTTTTTTTTTGATTTCCATAATTTTTTATGTCTTGGTAAACTTTGACCACAGAGAAACATTTTTTAGGAATCTTTATAAAATTTAATTTAGCAGCGTTTTAAGATATCTTACAATTATCTAGTAAGGGCTGTTTTCTCAAGTAACCTGTAACTTTAAAGCTCACTTTATATTTAAAGGTTACATTAAAATTTATGAGTGTGTCTAAAGTAAAGTATTTTATTATCGGTTTTAAATTGGTTTACAACCAAGAAATATACATACGTCAAAAAACGATAACAGAAATGCTTAACTTTAGACAAAGCTTTATTTTTAATCCAACCTTTAAATTTTAATGTTAAGGGTAACTTCGGGTATAAGACACATATTTTGCATAATAAACTAACAATACCTAACTAGCATTACCTAATACAAATGTACATATCTCATAGTTGCATGAGAACATTATGAAATAATTTTATTCTTTTTTATTTGCAGGTAAATTGCAAAAGCTTTTAACGGTGCAGACGGTAAGACGATTGTTGCTCGGAGTATGCAAGTTAAGATTCAAGAAAATTTAAATTGTAAAATCCTAAAGAAAAAATTTACTAACTAATGAACTTTTAACGACTTTTCGTTTGCACTGGAAGTATTACATTCTTATTGCCCTCTCAAAAGAGGTCATTGGAAATAAGACGTCGTAAGAGATCTACCGTGGCTACTACGCATAATAGCGCTGTATCGCCTTTTCTCGTAATTTTGTTAATTTAATGCCGGGAAATTGCTGGAAAACTTCTAGTGAGCTGATGTATCTTACACCGAAAAGGGTAACTCACTTTTTGTCACACCCAACACATATCGATTTTTCTCAAAAGTTTTGTTCAGACCACGGGTTATTGATAAATGTAATAATGTTGGCCTTCAATCGGACTAGAATCACACACCATATTCGAAATATATTTGTACATACAGTGCAAGTACCTCCCCACTTATTTACCCACCCCGCCTAAGTTCCTAAATTTTTCGTTCCCCATTTACCATTTTACTTATAATTTTCCCTTTTTAAGTGCTCTTTCAAAATTTCTGTTAAACAGGACAAAATTCTGTTAAATACATAATACTAATGTACATTAGCGTGGGCCGAAAATCCGCTTTTTTAGAATTTTGATTGGTAATAGCAAAACTATGGTTCCTATGCTCTAAAAAAAAGCTGTGTGAAAGATGAAAATTTTTGGTCAATATCTTAGGCTCGCCCAAGTCCATCAAAGTTCAAGTGGTAAAATAAAAATTCTGTACAAAAAAAGTCCATATACCAAATCGTTTAGGACTAATACTTTCGAAGATAATTGCAATTTTAGTAAGAAAAATTTGTTAATTAATTTAGTTATTAATTTTTATTGTTTGAGCGCTCTGCAGGCACCGAGGCACCAATTAAATGACAGTATTTTTTCAAGAGTCCGTAAAGTTTTGGGTAAACAGTTTTCATTTCCTCAAGGTTGACCACCTTCCCTACATACGGCTTATCTACAACCAACTTCTAGTATTTTACCAACTGGTTCACCGATAAATCAATGAGTGTGCAGGTCCTTTATTGTTGTCACACTTAGTTTTCTAGTCTTTACAATGGGCTTAAATGCACAACCATTTACACCATTGTATAATCTGGACTTAAACAACTACGATACAATATATCGTAAATTGGACAAAAATAATCGCTTAATTTAATCAAATGATTAATCGCTGCCATCCTCAGGCACAATTGGGTATTATTTAGAACCAATTCAGACGACGACTTTTCAACCTGCGTTTTTTGCACATTGTCTTTTTTTCCGGCGTTTCTTGCGTGTTTTCGACATTTAAGCCCTAAATTTTCATTGGTCAATTCTTTCGTCCTCAGTTTTAAAGCGGAGCGAATGGCGATCTAAAAGAAAAAATACAATAATGTGAATTCGATAAAATGGAAACGTGGAAAAAACCCCTCGATTTTGCTGACCGCGCGTGCATGCCTACCCCGCTGACTTCCCTACACTTCTTGCCAACATGCGCGAAACGCATGACTTTCCACCCAGGCGAAAAGCCATCGTGTAAATTGGCTCTTAGTAGCAACTAGTCTCATACGGGTATTATTGGAGATCAATTAGTCTCATCTCTAACGGGTACTATTAACGATTTAATGATATGTACGCACTTAGTCAATGAAATTTCATATGCTCCGTTGGCACAGAAAGAGAGTATTCGCTTAGTAAAACTGAGAACTCCGGTTCGAATCGCAGCTGGCGCAAATTTTTATTTTATTTTTTTAGTGACTAGTCGCTTTTTATGCCCGTTCGGGTATAAAGGGGACAATTATATCTATTCATTGGATATGCTCGACCAAAACCGAAAATTTCATTCCTTATAAAGGGTATTGGTCGTATGTTCCTTTCAGTGTTCATTAGAGGAATAGTTCGAAAGAGGACCGGGTTGGAATCTATTCGGGAGTCGTGCAGTATCTTTATAGCAGATATCTTTACATTTTACACAGGCAGTAAGTGCAATTCAAGATGGTTAGGATGTGTTAGGTTGAAGTGGCTGCCAGTGTACTATTGACTGTAATAATTGTGGCTTTAAATAATATTTGTGATTTTGAAAAATTCACTGTTTCAAAGTGCATGTTATGAGTATACCACTTTTTCTGTCCGACCTTATCCGATATAATATATATCCGACAAAAGGTTATTATATCTACTTTCATTTGGTGTATGAATTGTATGCTACAACTGACTCCTGTTTGATAAAATTACTATTTTCAGACGTCATCAAAGTCAAAAATGAACAAATATTTAATAGCAGTCATCGATTCGCCAACAATTAGCGAGTAGTGAAACGATCGAGCTCAATGAAGTACAACCAAACTCGCTATCGTCCATCCTTGCTAGCTAACTTTGTTGTTGCTTTCACATGCAAAATTCTTCGTTAATCGACCGGAACTCAAACATA